AATAAAATTCTCCAGTGAGAACTTTATTGTTTAATGTGTATTATTTCCTTCTACGTGACTTAATAAAAATAAAATTCTCTAGTGAGAACTTTATTGTTTAATGTGTATTATTTCCCTTCTACGTGACTTAATAAAAATAAAATTCTCTAGTTAGAACTTTATTGTTTAATTTGTATTATTTCCCTTCTACGTGACTTAATAAAAATAAAACAATAAAATTCTCCAGTGAGAACTTTATTGTTTAATTTGTATTATTTTCCTTCTACGTGACTTAATGAAAAATAAAACAATAACATTCTCTAGTGAGAACTTTATTGTTTAATTTGTATTATTTCCCTTCTACGTGACTTAATAAAAATAAAACAATAAAATTCTCTAGTGAGAACTTTATTGTTTAATTTGTATTATTTCCTTCTACGTGACTTAATAAAAATAAAATTCTCTAGTTAGAACTTTATTGTTTACTTTGTATTATTTCCCTTCTACGTGACTTAATAAAAATAAAACAATAAAATTCTCTAGTGAGAACTTTATTGTTTAATGTGTATTATTTCCTTCTACGTGACTTAATAAAAATAAAACAATAAAATTCTCTAGTGAGAACTTTATTGTTTAATGTGTATTATTTCCTTCTACGTGACTTAATAAAAATAAAATTCTCTAGTTAGAACTTTATTGTTTACTTTGTATTATTTCCCTTCTACGTGACTTAATAAAAATAAAACAATAAAATTCTCTAGTGAGAACTTTATTGTTTAATGTGTATTATTTCCTTCTACGTGACTTAATAAAAATAAAATTCTCTAGTTAGAACTTTATTGTTTACTTTGTATTATTTCCCTTCTACGTACGTGACTTAATAAAAATAAAACAATAACATTCTCTAGTGAGAACTTTATTGTTTAATGTATATTATTTCCCTTCTACGTGACTTAATAAAAATAAAACAATAAAATTCTCTAGTGAGAACTTTATTGTTTAATGTGTATTATTTCCTTCTACGTGACTTAATAAAAATAAAATTCTCTAGTTAGAACTTTATTGTTTACTTTGTATTATTTCCCTTCTACGTGACTTAATAAAAATAAAACAATAAAATTCTCTAGTGAGAACTTTATTGTTTAATGTGTATTATTTCCTTCTACGTGACTTAATAAAAATAAAATTCTCTAGTTAGAACTTTATTGTTTACTTTGTATTATTTCCCTTCTACGTGACTTAATAAAAATAAAACAATAAAATTCTCTAGTGAGAACTTTATTGTTTAATGTGTATTATTTCCTTCTACGTGACTTAATAAAAATAAAATTCTCTAGTTAGAACTTTATTGTTTACTTTGTATTATTTCCCTTCTACGTGACTTAATAAAAATAAAACAATAAAATTCTCTAGTGAGAACTTTATTGTTTAATGTGTATTATTTCCTTCTACGTGACTTAATAAAAATAAAATTCTCTAGTTAGAACTTTATTGTTTACTTTGTATTATTTCCCTTCTACGTGACTTAATAAAAATAAAACAATAAAATTCTCTAGTGAGAACTTTATTGTTTAATGTGTATTATTTCCTTCTACGTGACTTAATAAAAATAAAATTCTCTAGTTAGAACTTTATTGTTTACTTTGTATTATTTCCCTTCTACGTACGTGACTTAATAAAAATAAAACAATAACATTCTCTAGTGAGAACTTTATTGTTTAATGTATATTATTTCCCTTCTACGTGACTTAATAAAAATAAAACAATAAAATTCTCTAGTGAGAACTTTATTGTTTAATGTGTATTATTTCCTTCTACGTGACTTAATAAAAATAAAATTCTCTAGTTAGAACTTTATTGTTTACTTTGTATTATTTCCCTTCTACGTGACTTAATAAAAATAAAACAATAAAATTCTCTAGTGAGAACTTTATTGTTTAATGTGTATTATTTCCTTCTACGTGACTTAATAAAAATAAAATTCTCTAGTTAGAACTTTATTGTTTACTTTGTATTATTTCCCTTCTACGTGACTTAATAAAAATAAAACAATAAAATTCTCTAGTGAGAACTTTATTGTTTAATGTGTATTATTTCCTTCTACGTGACTTAATAAAAATAAAATTCTCTAGTTAGAACTTTATTGTTTACTTTGTATTATTTCCCTTCTACGTGACTTAATAAAAATAAAACAATAAAATTCTCTAGTGAGAACTTTATTGTTTAATGTGTATTATTTCCTTCTACGTGACTTAATAAAAATAAAATTCTCTAGTTAGAACTTTATTGTTTACTTTGTATTATTTCCCTTCTACGTACGTGACTTAATAAAAATAAAACAATAAAATTCTCTAGTGAGAACTTTATTGTTTAATGTGTATTATTTCCCTTCTACGTGACTTAATAAAAATAAAACAATAAAATTCTCTAGTGAGAACTTTATTGTTTAATGTGTATTATTTCCCTTCTACGTGACTTAATAAAAATAAAACAATAAAATTCTCTAGTGAGAACTTTATTG